AGGCGAATTTCAAGTTATAGTCGTTTGTTTTATTTTCTTTCTTTAGTTTTGGAGGACAGTGTACATATAAAGCTATGCAGTAAATTTAAACTACTTTAATTTATCAACAGCTTATGCAGGAAAGAATGGGTCTGAGCTCCGAAGCAACTTTAGTTTGCAGAGCCCTCAAATAAAAACTTAAAAAAATAAAACGGAGAGAGTGAAATATAGTAATGTATGAGGGCAAATTTGTGTTTATTTTCAATAATACAGACTCAATAATGTCACTATATTATATTGAATTAAAAAAATTATGTTTTAATATATTTTTACGCAAAAATCTCATATATGTTAAAAAAGGAACTTTAGTGAATTTTTTAAAATAAAAATCTATATAAATATTTATGATATTCTACATATTTCTAAGTTTTTGCTCTGAAAAATCTCGTAAAATATTTTGTGAATAAAATTGTTTTGCTTCTTGACTCTCAATCGACTTGTTCGCTAAGTATTTCAATCTATCCTGAGTCATTGCTGATCTGAGATCATTTTTCTAAAATTTAATTTAGAAAATGATATTCTTCAGAAGCAACGCTTACTGGGATGTAAAATATTTTCAAAGAACAATATATAAGTTTGGAATTGCCGTAGCTCTGTCGAGTAGAAAAAGTAATACTTAAAAATAAACTTAAGCGTTCTTTCTGGTCAAGATTATTGGCAAAGCGCCCCAGTATAACTAAAAAGAGACAAGGGAGAGTTTCTATGAACCGTGCTTTAAACTGCAGTAGAGAAATGAGTGAAAGTCATTTAAATGAATCAGCCGAAAAACTTAAAATTACAGGTTCATTTCCTGATAATCTTACATGGCAAAAAACAGTAGTTATTTGCATGTAATATTATCTGGAAAAGAAATAACCAGCAAAATGGCACCAAAATCCTCTTTGGAAAAGATTCCTAGTTCGCTTATATCAACTACAGAACATGGAATACAAGATCAGAATTCTCTACTCAATTTCTATAAATTCTTTGATAGCAAGTTAACAGAGAAAGATGTAGAGGACCTGGGGTGGTACTAACAGATGGTCACTCTTCAAGGTTTGACGTATTATTGTGAAAAACAATTTCGTCTTTTTTTCGGTCCACCGGACACAACAGGTGTAGCACAATTTTTGGATCAAGTAAATTTGACAATTGATCGTTCTGAGTTTATGGGAATATTAGGAAAGATAGGATCCTCATGAACAACAAAAGAACCTTTAATCAAAGCAACTAAAGTGGTTGGTATTGCAGAGTCAGGTCTAAATGTTAACTTAATGCAAAATCATAACTTTGAACAAGCAGCAAGATGTCTAACAACTATTTAGTCTTCTCAGACCCCAAAACAATGTTCTGTACAAAAAGTCCCAATTGTTTCATCCCCTCGCGATGTTAGAACAAGTTCTTATGAATATTACAAAAAAAAACTTGAATATGCATATAGATTTATCCATGATCTTACTGAATCTTGATAACTACTTAAAGATGTTCCGGATTTGCTATCGTATTCAAAGATTACCCCAAAAGATACCTCTAAAAAATCATAAAAGTAACTCAACAACACGGATCAAAGAAGAGGAAAAAGGTCTAACAAGCTGTAGCTGAAAAAGAAAACGAGAAAAAGAAAAAAGAAAAGAAGAAACAGGTGAATAAAAATAATTGTGCAATAATAAAAGAACAATTTATCAAATGCAAAGATCAATGTCAATGTAAAGGAAGGTGTTGTGTATTTGGCTTTAAACAGTGCCCTATTTACAATGATGTTTTAAAGTCAGTTTGTTGCTAGCAATCCTGCAAATTGACGGTATTAAACCAAAAATGATAGAAGCCTCTGAATTGATCATTAATATCAAAACTTGACATTTTTATGAACATTTTTTTTTTCTGATTTAAAGTTGTGTTTTATTTGTTAAAATAAAATTTGTTTGTTATTTGATAAATAAGTCGTAAAATTTAAATTGACAATGAAGATAGTATTTTAGAGGTTTTAGAAAACCAATGTGCACCTTAAAATGTATGTCTAGTGTTTTTCATAGTAACTAGAATAGTAATAGTAACTGCTGTCCTTTTACTACTGATCATTTTCATATACAGTCTTTATAACTTAATTCTTTGTTTTAAATCTGAATTTTATGTTTTAAGTAAAAATTAGTATTCTAACTTTTAGAAAAAATACAGAAAATCATTAGTTGTCAGAGTATACTTGACATTGAATAGACTTACTTTTTTAATTTATATAATTTTATGTCTTGGTTACTCCCTTGTATAATATAAACCTTATTCCAATTGATTTGAAAATATCAGAGACCAGAATTCAATATTCAGCATTTTAACGTACACATACATTTTAAGGTACAAATACAATCGAACCAGGTAACGTACCATTTGAAACTTTTTGAGGCTAAAAGATATATTTTTTTCTGAGGCTAAGAAACAAAGCTTAAGCATAGTCATATACTATTAAATCAAAGTAAAATACTTTCGTATTTCATTCTCTACATAATTTTATATTGAACTTTACATCACATTTAAATTATAATCTTAGTATTGTTTATTATATTTCAGTATATTACATTATTCTTTGTATTTTCTTAGATAGTGTACATTAATTTTTAGAATAGTAATTTGCTGTTTCTGCATTGTTGGCTCAAATTATCCAATTAAATCAGTTATACCTAAAAAATTTCCATTTCCTGCATCACCAAGTTTTTTAACAGAACCTAGAAACTCTATATTAAATTCAGCTAAAAACTGAACTACAAAAAATAGTATTTTAAATACGTTGTACAAATGAGTTTTTCCTTGGTTAAACAGCTTCTGCTGCACTATATGAATTATTTTGTCCAGCATACAGTTTATTTTTTTGAAGATTTGTACATTTTGTTTATTTTTTAAATTTACTAAAATATTTCCTAACATAGTTATCAAATAATCTTTTGAGTTTTTATGAAGTAGAAGTCTGTTATTTATGTTTAACCAGCTACCAACTATCTAGCTTTATAACATGTCTTTATAACATCTTTTGTTTGGCACTGTAACATCTTCTGTTAGGCCAGATGAGTTGTTTAGCTTTTTAACAACTACCTAGATTTATAACAACTTTTAAGCATATTTTTTTTCATTAAGTTTTATATAAAAGAAAACTCAATTTTTAGTATTTTTAAGTTTAGAGCCCTTTTGCAAATTTAAGGAGTTAAGCAACTTTGTAGCTATTAGTATAAAATGCACCTTGCGTTCTAACAATTTATCAATTGGTTTAGCGATGTCTAAGATCTTATGCGGGCTGATGCAGTTCTAAATAATGTGGAAATTTCTCAAATACAAGCAAGTATTGAGGAAACCCTGAAACTTCCATCAAGCAACGTTCAAAATTATTTTTTAAAATATAATTTTAGTTTTGTTATTAATCTCTAAGTTACTACGTCACAATTAAACGCAATTTAAATTTTTTTAACCATAGTTTTTCAACTATGGTTATTATAGTTTTTCAGCTTTTGATTTAAATTTTTTTGACATTCAAATAATATTGCCCTTTTTTGATTTTAACTGGTCTCCAATTTAATAGTTCCCGATTTTTTAGGGCTACCTAAAAGTTGAAGTGTATGTCAATATTTAAGAACAGTACAACAGCCTAAGACCTATATTAGAGCAGAAATGAGGGCACCTGAACCTAAAGTTCTTAAAATTATTATTGAAAATGTTTTGGAAAGAGTACCTCAGGTCAAAGAAAACAATCGGCACTATTCGAAAAATATCATATTCAAAACATAATTTGAGCATATTTCCAAAATATAACCTAACTGATAATAAATGGATACGTTAAAAATTTTAGGAAAAAAATATTATTCATTACATAAATCATAAATCGTCACTTATACGTCATATTGTATTATCTTTTGCCGCAATTGTCCACAATTTGACTGATATGCATTTAAACTTTATGATTTTTTAAATTTTATTACTTTTAGGTTACGTTATGTTTAATTTTTTTCTTTGAATTTATATTTATTAGTTAGCTTTTTGTCATATATAGTTATAGCCAAAAACGAACTCATAAACAAAGTGTCATATTCTCAGATCTATGTCAATGTAAGAGAAGGTGTGTAAACAGTTGGCATCATACAAAGTCAATGTTCGTTAACAAAAATACTCATTTTTTAATCCCTTATACATTGCACTTATTTGTCAATTTTAAGCAAATTTTATTTTAGGTGCAACTGGTGTAAACAATTTTGCTGGTTTACGCTTTTTAAAACAAGCTAAGACGGTAAATTCTGTGAGTTATTTGGAAATTTCAAAAAACAATGTGTCTCATTGATTTCAAATTAGAAAGTTTAATACTTTCAAATTTGTTAAGGTATAACTCCAAGAAAATGCAATTATTGTTCATGCCTTATTGCCAGGCAACTCATCCCATTTGATATCTCATCGTAAACTGTTATTTAAAGTCTAAACAGAACCCAACCTTACAAGCAAACCGGAGAAAATCCATAATAAAAAAATAATGATATTCTCTCATGGCTTTTATGCCGCGAAGGCTGTTCTAATAGTTTAAGTTGAAATACAAAGTACTAACCCATGTTTTAAACTATGACTTCTTTATTCTTTTATGTTCATGAATGTTTTTTTTTTTTTTTAACTAAAAAGATTTTGTACAAAATACAATACAGAAAAGCTTTTTTGATATAATTATTAGATGGTTGGAATTTTTTGGCCATAACTGTATACAACTATGCACTTGTCCTTGCTTAGCATCATATATTACATTATCTTTAAGTTTTTTTTTGTTTTTTTTTAATCAACTATTATAATTATTGCTTTATATCTAACGAAGAAAAATATACCTTAGCTACTATTATATCTTAGCGACAGTATATTTTTCTTCGTTAATTTTTAAACTTTTTTTGCTAAGTCACTCTTGTAAATATACAAAAAGTACTTTTGGATAATATCTTTGTGAATAAATTAATGCGGACGTTAGAACAACACAAGTATTCTGTCTTTAGGGTCCGAAATACAATATCTTAACAAAGCCAAGGTGGAGATTAGAATAAAAAGATATGATTTTTATTAAATATCTTTTTAAAGTTTTATTTTTTATCCTTATCTTAAAGTCAGTATCATTATCAAGAAATGACGATGAATTTGCCGAATTTGAGCGGGACCCTGACGCTGAACTTGATAGTGAGGTACAAGTAGATGAAATTCCAAAAGACGATGGTTTTGTGGAAGAGGAGGGTTTTGTTGAAGATGTGCAAAGTATTTTTTAATTTTTTTAAATTAATTAAAAACATAGGTTAAAAATTTTTTTGAAAAAGTTTTTTATTTGATTTGTTGAATTAAAGCACATAATAAAGATTATTTAAAAGGTCAACTAAATAATAGTATTAGATAATTAGCAAAAGTATTGCAATCTTTACCTAAAATGAAGTCCAGATATATTAATTAAAAAAAAAATTAGCCTTATATGTTATTGAATATAAAATTAAAAATAATAATTATTATAATAAATTTTTTGTATAATAAAGATGCAATTGTAGTTTTACCACTTTTAACTCTATTCATTGCATCTAGACCTCTCAGCCATAAATTGTTCCTTTAAAATGTTTCCTTTCATCTACTATAGCATATTTTTTTGTTTCCTGATATTTATAGCATTTAAATACTATAGCATGTTTTGTTGTTTCATCAGGGAGAATGTCTAAACAATAAAAAGTTTAAATTATAGAAAATATATTTCACAGGAAGTTGGAAATTGTTATAAATTGAGGATGATAAAAGTAGTTTACTTGCACACTTGAAGAGTTATGCTACATCATTGGAAAGATGGGTTAATGAGAAGCTATTCATTTTTTCAGAAAGAAATGACTTGAAGCTTGAGCCTAAGTTATATAATAACTGTAGAAACCAGTTATGTATAAACTGTAGTTATTTTGCAACCAGGAAGTTGCATCAGCTACATTAAAATTAAAAAATTAATCATTAAAAAGAATTTTTTAGAATGAGGATAATTTTAGTCTGGGCAATTGTTTTTATAATTTTTTAAAATGTACTTATTTTCATGTCTGCATTAAGAAATTAGTTCAGATTTTTCGTTTAGTAAATTTTCTTGATCCAAATGATTAATAATAATTAATATTATATTACGTTTACTGTATTTCAAAATACAGTAAAAGTAATAATAAATATAATAAGTCTGAAGAATCTCTACTTTTTTTAAATCTGCCCGAATCATTTTAGGACTCTGCATCCCTAAGTCTAAGTACTGCCTAATATAATAACTGAAATAATTAACCAGTGTTAAAATTTGGGCGTGACTAGGTTTGATGAAAATAAGCGAAGCCAGGTTTGTTACAGGGGCTGCATAAACATTGATACATCCTAAAGTAGATTTTGATGAAAACTCATGTTATTATCATATATGTATGTATATTTATATATAAACATCATTGCGATTCACATAATCATCATAATTATCATCATCAAGCTTTGAGCATCTTATTTCATAACTAAAGCTTGTTCATAAAATATGTAACATTTCTCTCATCGTTTACTTACTTCTACCGCTCCCATTTTCTCCTAAAGCTGCTACCTCTCTACATGCTGATACCCAAACATTTTAATCTTCTCTAACAAACGTTTGATACAGCGTTTTTCTAATCTCTGTTTAAGATTATGGTTCCTTTTCTGGTTCTGTCTGGGGTCGTACCATATATCCATCTGATCATCATCTTCTCATTTGGCAAATAGTACACAATAAAAATACTAAAGTTTATATAAAAATGTAAAGATATTGTATGTCTGTATCTATGTCAGATTATATATCTATGACATAGATGCTGACATACAATATCTTTACATTTTTATATAAACTTTAGTATTTTTATATATATATGTTTATATATCTATGCTATGATTAGTTTTCTTTCTATTAGTTTCTTTATATAAAAGTTTTAAGACTCATGTTTTCCTGACTTTTTAAGTCTCTAACCTGTAACTTTTTAAGTCTTCAGTTAACCGTTTTCTTGCTCTTTAAACCTATCTTTTATTTTTATCCTTTAACCTGCAACTTTTTAAGTCTTCAGTTAACCGTTTTCTTGCTCTTTAGGCCTATCCTTTATTTTTTTAGTAACTCTTAACTCAATAACTTAATGACTCATAATCATAAGCTTTCAACCTTGTTGGAAGTAAATTAGTTTAAAAATATATACATATTTATGCTAGTATTTAATAAATAGTTAATGTATGCATAAATTTATAATATGTAAAGTATTAAAAATTTTATCCTAGCCTAAGATTTTGTTAGCTTTAGCAGCAGCGGTGAACACTTGACCTTTGTACTTTAGATCAACAGATAGTTAAACACCAAGGTCTTTTTCCAATGTTGTTGTTTCTAGCTGGATTCTTTTGACTCTGCTATTGGAGTCGTTTTTATTGATGAAGTAAATGTGAGGGACAGATCTGGATTGGTTGATGTGCATAACTTTACATTTTTTGATGTTAAGTTGCATGAACCATAATTGAGTCCAATTGACAATATTATTAATGTCAGCTTGCAGACCAAGTTTGCTTTCTAAAGTGTTAACTTCACTGAGGACTTTTGTGTCATCTGCGTACATTTTGCATTTATTTTTGCGGCTAATGTGTTCTGGTAAGTCATTAATATAGACTATAAATAGTGTTGAACCAAGAACTGAGCCCTGAGGAACACCACTAGTAACCTTTTTCCAATTGAATGCAACATTACCAAGAAGGACACATTGTGTTCTGTCAGAAAGAAAGGCATTAATCAAATTTAAAACATTTCCACTAATTCCATAAGATTCAAGCTTTTTTAGTAACCTTTTGTAAGGAACTTTGTCAAATGCTTTGACAAAATCGAGAAATAAGGCATCAACAGGTAGCTTTTGTGATGCAGTGTAAGTCAAAAAGTCTATAGTTTCGAGTAAATTTGTAGCGCATGACAAATCTGTGTTGACATTGGGAGAGAAGATCGTTAGATAATTAGTGATGCATGACCTTATCTTTAACCAGTTTTTTCCATTATCTTACATGGTACAGAATTGATGGAAATTTGTCTGTAGTTTGTAGGGTCAGTCTTAAAACCATTTTTGAACAATGGAGTTTCATTAGCTACAAGCCAAGCCTTTGGTACAATTGTTTGTTCCATTGAAAATTGAAAAATCATGGCAAGTGGAGCTGCTATTGTGCTGGCACATGCTTTAACAACGTAAGGACTTATTTGATCTTCTCCAGCAGATTTATATTTGTCAAGTGCCTCAAGGTGTTTTCAAACAGATTCAGAATCAAATGAAAAGTTTAAGAGAGAGGTAGATAAGTGTTTAGCAAACAGAGGTAGATTTTGATTATGAGGCTCAATAGTAAAGACCGATTGGAATACCTTGTTCAATGTATTGGCAATCAAAAATCTATCGGTACAGAGTTCACCAGATGGAGAACGCAATGTATTGATATGATTATTGACAGTACGTTTGCTATTAATGTAGGCAAAGAGTCTTTTTGGATTGTTCTTGTCTTTAGGTTTTCTTCAGATGAGAGAATTGCAGCTCTAGTCTCTTTTCTTACAAGATTTTGAGTAAGCTTGTAATCATTAGCCAACAAGATAATTTTCCACTTGCTGTTACGGTTGAGAAACCATTTTTGTAAAAAAGTTTTTGTAAAATTGATTTTAAATATTTTTAAATGACATTTTCAGAATTTTAAAGAATATTATAGAGAATTGCATAATTATGCAATGTAAATAATGAAATTTTGCGAAAATTGCCTTATGTTGCTATTAAATAATAAAAGTGTGTGAGAATTGCATAATTAAGGTACTGTGGTTTTACACTCCTGATTGTGTAAATTTTTTAAAAAATGTTTAGTTTGAATCAGATAGGTGATCTAGTTGGCCAACTTAAATTATTTTTTAAAATGTTTAGTTTCGGTTGGGCAGGTGATCTAGTTGGGCAACTTGAATTATTTTTTTTTAATTTATATGCGGTAGTGGTGTAGTGGTAGAGCGCTCGCTTCATAAACGAGTGGTTCCGAGTTCGATTCCCACCACGTCCCTGGTAGTACCGCGCTCAACTCGTTTCTCCGCGCAGCGGCTTTGTTCGTCAAGGTTCGTGTTTCGGAGTTATAGAGTTGAGAGAGGGTTATAGCCACAAATAAGTAGCCTCCTCGTCTGTAGTGGCCGTCTCGGCCTTGAGGAGGTGAATTAAAATAAAAAAAAAAAAAAAAAAAAAATTAATTTTAAATTGTAGTTCATTAAACTTTTTTTTATTTAGGTAATGAACCAAACACACAGACAGAGAATGTGAATGAAGAGGTTTTTAATAATATTTAATTTTTAATAATAACAAGTTAAAAAAAAAAAAAAATTTATTATTTATTATTTAAAATATTATTTATAGGAAAATAGTAATATATTATAATTGTTATTGTATTTTTTGCATACATATTAGACTTTAGATTAGGATTGGCTAAAATTTAGCCAACCCTATTCTAAATTTGGTTGCATGAAAAATTCCTTAAAATGTTACTTAACTTATTGAAAGTATTGTTTAAAAAAAAAAAAAAACTAAAAAAAAATCTGTTTATATATTTACAAAAAATATCATTTTTTTATTACGGAAATTTCTCGGGAGCTGCGATGACAAAACCTCTAGTTATTTTATGGATAAACTCATTGCATGTAAACAGAAGTTTTCGTGAATAAACAGATTTCTGTTGAATAAACAGATTTCTGTTGAAATATAATGGATATTCCTGTTGAAAATCAACAGGTATTTCCAGTTAAACGACAGAAATGTTGTGGCAACTAGATAGTTGGATAGCTGTTGGATATTTTCTGTAAATAAAAGAAATGTTGCAGTTAATATACAAGCTTGGACAGGAATGGCGTGCGATCGAGCACTATTGCTGACCACTCAAATTATTTTATTTCGTGACAACTTGACCGCGATTACATATATGTTTTGATGATTTAAACATTTCAGAAATGCGCTGATTGTAGAAATGCTAAGCTAAACTTAAACTAGGAAATAAGTTAAAAAAAAAAATTAACGAAAAAAAATTCCTACAGAAAAAAGAAACTAAAAAAAATCTTTACGAAAAAGAAATTATATAAGCATTATAAAAAAAATAAAAAATAAAAACTTTTTTTTACGTTTTTAATCGCGTTTGAAATAAATCTTTTTAAGTTACTCAAAACGCTTTTAAATTAACAAATTACTACTAACAATTGTTTAATAAATAAACAATTTTTATCAAATTTATTAAAAAGTGCTGTATTTAATATATTTAAATTGTATATACATTTATTTTTTCAAAAAAATTGCAAAAAAAAAAAATTGTTTAAAAAAATAACGTAGTCTTTTCAAAATAGTAATTTTTAATAATTTCATGCTCTAATTAATGTCTAGTTAAAAAAAGTCCAAGCTTGGTTAATATACCATTCATACGAAAATTTAAAAAGTTTATTTCTAGCAAATATTTTATGTATAAAAAAGATTGCATGTTTTCAAATATATAATCTATTGTTTTCTTTGATTTACATAAAAAATATTAAATTTTCTGTGATTTACATTTCATTTTAACAGCAAATCCACGAATAAATAATAAATTAGTAAATAAACGATTTCAAAAAAGTTATCAACAATTTTTATAAAGTATAAATAAGCACATAATATAATCATATTACTATCGTATATCATAATCCTATCTACATTTACATTATAGGTATACTTAAAATTTTATTTTTAACATTTGTTTCACAAAATATAAATCCACCCAAATATACAAAAACAAAGTCTTTCCTTTCTTTTCCATTTCAAGTCAACTATAAATCTAAAATAAAAGCATAAAAACATTTTTTTTTTGATAAATATTAAAATTATTCCTTACTCAAAACAAGTTTTTTTAGTAAAGAAATATTTTAATATTTAACATGTAATAAATTATAAAAAACACTCATTATGTGCAATGATTAGTTACCTTAAAAAAGTTACTCAATACAACTGATTTAGCTGATAAACCAAGCAATAAACAACTATGGATATAATTAAAAACTCTTTTGAGCAATAAATAAATACCTGCAACAAATAAAAACTTTCTCAGTTTGTCATTCTAATTGTGATAACGGAATTTCTTGTTTTTGTTATTGTTGGTACCAGATGCCATTACTCCTAAATTTAAAATTAGATTTTTTATATTGTTAAATAAATCTATACAACTTTTTCAAAATAAAGTTCCAATAATCAGTTACTAAATTTACCTACAAAATAATACAATCATTGCAGTGTAAAGCAGGTTTATGTTTAAGGTTTATTTAGGTTTATTAGGTTGATGAGCTGGTACATAATCATGATATAAATGAAAACAACCGATTTAATTTTCAAGTTAGAAATCAGGACATTTATAAAGTTAGATACATACCGTTTGTTTGTACTTGAAATTAGTTTGTGAACCAAAAAAACTACAAATGTGATAAATATCACTATTATAAAAAACATATCTTTATTATCAATATTGAATTTTTTTTTAAACATAATTTTTAAAGCATTTCAATAATTTATTAATGACTTATCAATAACTTATTTATGACTTATCAATAACTTATTTATGACTTATTGGCAAGAAGTCACAACCAGTTTCTAACCATCTTTTAATAAGTCATAAACTGCAATGAGGCAATGATTCATAGTTTAAAACTTTATTAAATGGAAATTTCCATGTTTCCAAATTTTTTAATAGATAAAAAAAACTGTAGTATAATTTTGCTTAATGGGTATTGTCCATGTCAATAAAGAAAAATATTCCTATAAAAGTACGGGAATATTTAACAAATAAAAATTTATAACAATGTTACGTATTGAAATGTAACATTATATGCTACAGTTTAGTTACAAATATCTGTTATTTTTATGTAATTAAGGCATAACCCATAAGTTGAACACCAATAATTTAAACTTTTGTTATTTCAAACTGTTTTCTATAGTCTCTTGAAAGTTATTCAAAGTCTCTTGAAATATTTCAACAATTTTTTTACTTCGCTTAAGTAAAACATTTACTTAGTAAATCCATTTTCATTGTTCCATTGGTTGTACAAGAATTTTATTGGAATTTTACTGCACTGAAGGCTTGAGTTAAATGATCACAGATTGTGATATCTGGAAATATTTATGGTCATTAAATTTATTAATATCAGTTTATTAAAACTGTAGGCTCTGTTTTAATGAAATGGTCAATTTATCATATTGCAAAAATTAATGGAAAAGCAAAATGATATACTTACTTCTGCAAAAATAATAACAGTCAAAACTCATGTATTTTAATTTATTGTTTGTTTAAAAACCAGCTAATTAAAGGATTATAAATTAAAAGGTTAAATAAATTTGCATGATATTTTAAAAACAACCAATAAAAAATTTTACTAAAGCTATTTTTGTTTAGGGGGAAATTTCGAGGAATTAATTATTTAAGTTAATATGTTTTAAATTAGATATTAATAAAATAATAATTAAAAAGATTTATTTTAAAATAAGTTATTAGAATTTTTTTATTTTAAAATAACTATAAAAAGTTTAAATTAGTTTTTATATATTTTTAAACTCCTCTGTCTTTAATTTTGTATACATATCTGGAAAAGAGTTTCGAGCGATATATTTACATATAACAACTATTACTTATATAAATCAATTTAATTAAGCTACACTCTAAAAAAAAAAATTAAAATCAATGGAGTATGTTGCTCCCTCAATATTGCACCAATGGAGTTCTCCGTTAATTTAACAGATTTAACAGACTAATAATTTAACGGATTCAATATGTTACTCAAAAGTTACAAGTTAATCTGTAAATTTAGCAGATAGTTTGTTGAAGTAAAAAATTACTCAAAGTAATTTTTTACTTCAAAAAACTATCTGATAAATTTACGGATTAATTTGTATTATATATATATATATATATATATATATTATATATATATATATATATATATATATATATATATATATATATATATATATATATATATATATATATATATATATATGACTATTTTGTTTATCTTGAGATGCTTTTATTCTAGATATTTTATTCCGTAATATTTTTGCAGCAAAATATTCCTACAAACCTAACAAATTAATTTGTAAAATTTGCAAATTAGTTTAACTGTTTTGTATTAGAGAAATGGTTTTAGATGGCGTTTACAGCAATAAGACCTATTGTAGAAATAAATAAAAATAACACTTTGTAACAAAAGTGTAAATCTTCATGTATATTAAGATAAATAAATGATACATTTATATAAAAATTAAACATATTTAGTGAGTATTGATTGTAGCTCAACCACTCCATTTGGTAACAAACCGTACTGCAGCCCATAAATATCTTGCAGAAACTGCCAGAACATGATTGTTGATGGCTGGTATTCGATGTTAAAGCAGCAAAAAAGCTTAAATAAGCAATCGATGCTTTCTATAATAAATGTGCGGGCTTCAAAAAAATCTTTATAGAGAGAATTTTCTCTTCCTTGACCCTCTGTAATAATATCACTGGATAAGGGACTCCAACTTTTCTGCAACATTTTGCAGTCCATGCTTAACCTAAATTTGCAATGAAACTTTTGTTATACCTGTTACAATATTATTAAAAATTCTATTTATATATTTATAAATTACAATTGCTTGCTTTTAATTTAAAATTTGCTACCACTGTGGATCAACAAAAAAACATTTGGCTACTTCTAGAGCAGAATGTTTCAGTTTCCTTCCTTGTCGCAGAAGCGAGTATAGAAGCTTGCATGCATAATTATCTTTCCAATCTAAAGCAAATATATAAACCATACGAAAACGTAGTAAGTGCCAAACATACAAAGTTAATTCCATCTAAAATATTTTTTTAAAAATTAGAATATCTTTAACAAAAATAATGCAAACCATAATGTTTTTTAAATACCATTATAGCGACAGTTTTAATGTAAAAACTATTTGACAGTAAAAGACCAAACAAACATTTTTAGTGATCCTAGTATAAAAAAGAAAATATAGTAAGTAAATTTAGCTGCTTGTATGACAGAAATAAGGTGATAATTCATATAAACTTTTAGTTACTAAAATTAATTATTTGCAATGGACAAGAGAGACAATGGACATAAAAGATTGACAATGACACACAACAGAAAGGTTACAATGCAAGTTGCTTATATAAAAAAAAGTTAATAAGCATTTAAATTTGTATTCAATTAATTTAACTAATATTAATAAACACCAGGTAACTTTCTTTTAGCGTTTTCCAATCCTCTCTCCAAAAAGCCACGATGATTAGTAGAATCGTAATAAATGCTTTCTGGAAGTATAAGTACCTCACTTAGCACTGCTACCACGAAATCTTTTGATATTGATCAGGATAGTTACCATAAGCACTTATCATTTTGTGCACAACAACTTGAATGATGTGCTGTCTAGTAGAGATTGAAATTTTATCAGAATTAATCTCTTCAGTATATTGACAAGTACTTTACAAAGTAATATATGATATTGTTGTTCCTTAAAAAATTACTATTCACAAGTTGTTGAAAATTTTTATTGCTAAAAAAGCAAGTAAAGTTATTGCTTAAAAAATTATTAATTAAAAATCAAGTAAATTACAACTATATAAAATCAAGTAAAAACCATTTAAGTATTGTACTTACAGGGTGCTGTGCAAGAAAGGCTTTAATTGAATTGGCTGAAACAAACGCCTTATTAGCAGCTTTCATTAGATAGTTATTGTTAACAGAAACACTAGATTCCAAAAGCCTAAAGTACTTTGATTTGACTGCAATGAAGGCGACACTAATGGTGAATTTGATTGTCTGTACTGGTAAAAAGGATTTTTTTAAATTTATAAAAATAGTTTATATAGTTAAAACACACAAGCGTTTTAACTTTATAAAGCATACAAGCTGCTAATGAGGCGTTTGTTTCAGCTAATTCGATTAAAGTCTTTCTTGCACAGCACCCTGTAAGTACAATACTTAAATGGTTTTTACTTGATTTTATATAGTTGTAATTTACTTGAAGCACACAAGTAAATGCTAATTTCAAGATATTACATAGTATTATGTTGAAAAAAAAGGTTTATTAAACAATTTACATAGTAGCTATCTTTCCTTGTAGTTTAAATTAATTTACCAAATTAGCATTGGTCCACTGCTGGCCATCTATGAGTAAAAAGAGAATTGTGTTTGATTCTGCTAAATGGTTTATTATTTCAAAATCAACCTCATCAACTTCTGGATATCATTTTCCTAGACAAAGCCAACAATTTTATCTGATATCAAACCAAACTTGCAACGCGCTGGAATAACAATACAGAGTCATTTAACTTTTTATATGCAAATTCAGACTAGTAAAGTGAATATATATGAATTCACAATATTAACTTCATTTACAATTAAACAATTATAGTTATTTAATAAAAATATATTTTTCAGTCTGTAACGCATAAATGAGAAAACCATATTTCTATTTTAAATTTTTATTCTAAAAAATTGTCATCAGAGAAGATGACACATATAGACATTTTGTAAATCTCAGATTTACAAAGTGTCCATATTTGTCATCTTCTCTAGCAATACATATGACATTGTATGGATGATAGTCCTTGAGCTGATTTTTATTTATAACAATCAATTTATTTGGATTACTAGATTTTTTTAACTTCAAAAGAATGAAAATATTCATTAAAATGTAATGTTTTATTTGGATAGCATATAAAGTATCTTTGTTTTGCAAGAGAATGGAGAATGGAGAAACAAATCAAAACAAGGCATATTTCTAAAGGTACAATACCTTATATTACATCATGCATGCAGTCAACTGCACTCTGGTCTATGCAGTGAAACTGTAACAAACAATTGAAAGGGCAACCATGTTTAATGCCAAATTCTAAAGCATTGCAATTATTGCTTCTACTTTCTGCCACACACAGATCATATTCAGCTTAAGTCCTCCTACCAAAAATTTCTGCTTTAAATGAAGTTTGAATCTCACCATGTGTACACTTGTAAAATTGGCAAAAGTAATTTGCATTAAAGCTTTCCATGAAGCCAAACAAAGAGTGTGCTCCTAAATTATCAGAAGAAAATAAAATCAAAATGACATAAATAGTTTCTTTCACTCCATTTACTTCAACAACCATATTTCAATTGTTGCAATAAAATACAACACTACGAAGAATTGGATACTATGAGTATGATTCTTCATAATGTTATATTATAAAAACGCAACACTATGAAGAATTGGATAGTATTTATTTGTGTAAGCATCTAGCGCATACCAACTAGAAAAATGCTATCAGTCTCAGACTGATATTCAAGAGTTAACTTATTGTTTAAATTTTAACTTTATCAGGAAATTATTTTTTTAAATTGACATTAATAATGAAAACAACTAATGTTAAATACACATTCACTGATTAAACACACATTCACTAATTAAACACACATTCACTAATTAAACACACATTCACTAA